ACCAAAAATATTTTAAAAATTAGAGAAAATAAATTTCAAAGGCTATTATATCATCCTTTTTTGTACAGATAAAATTTTTAAGTGAAATGGAATGAAAAAATGCTTCTTATACTACTACAAAATAAATATCAGGATCGGAAAAAGTTGTAAACATGAGAAATACATGTAAGTCGTCTCATACGGCACAAACACGTTTCCTATGTAAACATATTTTTTACTACCCGAAAAAGCATAGAATAACAAATAATTGTGGAGATTGGCATACAAAGTGTGGGACGGAACTCCGTTAGTATACATGAACACTAGTAGAGCTAAGCCCTACTGCAGAATAATTGTGGCAATAATCTAATGATCAGACAATGGTCTTAAGTTAGGCTAAATATTTCTTTGAACATTTTAAAAATTACTTGTGTTTATTTATTCTATAGAGAAATCAAAAGTTTTTAGTTTGTGGTAGAAAATGAAATGATGTAAATCTGGCTCTGAATCGTGAAAGAAAGTAAAATATGCATAAAAACACTAAATTTAAAATACATGATATGAATAGCAGAGATCTCTGATGGTTAAGCTTGATCATAATAAAAGGGATATATAATTATGTTACTAATTATTTATTCTTAGTAATATCAAGGTGGCCATTAAACGTTTCGGGTTATCTGGTTATAGGCGCTTATGTTATTTATGATTTATTTTTAATAATAATAAAGAGGCGAGTAAATGACCTGGGTCGCATGGTTATAGGCGTTTTCGTCAATAATTAACAAATTGATGGGTTATTTGGTTTAAGGCGCTTGAGATTTTAGATCTGATTTGAATTTGGCGCTGTGCGTTCAGTACTACTTCTGGGGACACTATCAATCTAGTAAGAATGGTGTTATAGAATAGGTCTTATTCAGTTTAAGCGACTACTATACCCGTGGCCAATCAACGCGTGGCATTACAGCAGCCAATCAGCGTAGTAGGACAGATTGCATGCCACCGGTATACCTAATGCTGCAGCGTGGAAATCGTAACGTGGCTGTAATATGGGCTAAACTGATGCTCCGTTACAGCTAAGGTACTGTCAGGTAAATAATGTCTGACACAAAACATCGCTTGATCTCTTTGAAGTTTTCGAAAAATATAGAAAAAATCGTTTTCGACATGCCGTGCGCGGGAAACGAGATTATGAGCCATCTGTTGTGGCTCTAAAGACGGCGATTTACACACGCAACTTACAACTCGTGCTGCGCACTCGTGCGAGTGCGTGTGTACGTCGAGATCTTTAGAGCCTTATTAGATGGTTTATAATCTCTTTCTCCGCGCACAATGTGTCGAAAAGTTGTATACAGCACACGTGCGAGAGGTTAGGTGATTGACACATGCGTGTCTAGCACTCCTGTGCGAACTGACACACGTGCGTTAGTCGCCTTCCTCGCGCACTAGTATCGTAATGTACTATTTTTTTTCCTATTTATATTTTTATATGTATATATGTATATGAAAAAACGTACGTAAAATATTAAATATGTTTAATATGAGAACTTAACTTATGAAAACAAGAAAAAACGCTGTATTGCAAAAGAGAAGCAAAATTTAGAAATAGTTATTTCTACGGGTTTTTCAAAGGGGATCTACATTATCGAGGTGCACAAATATCGAGGGGTTGGACTATGCACAAACATAATCTTAATTACATCTTTTTTGACAGTATCTTAAAAAGAACAAGTAAAAAAAAATTTACTTTTGTATAGCGTGTATAAAAAATAAATTTGGACATTTACAAGATCTTCGTAAAATTTTTGTCACAATGTAAGTTCTCAAAATTTGAAAAAGAGTCATATCTCGAAAAAGAGGCTAGATAGACCTTAAATAACTATTTTTACTGGTTTTCTAAAGGGGTAATACATGATCGACGCGCACTTAAAAAGCAGAAGTCAAAAAAATTGTATTATTTAGTATGACATGTTTGGGAAATTCTTACGGACGTTGACAGAGTCTTTGAAGAGTTTTTCTTACAACATAACCTCCCAAAATTAGAAAAGCAGTCACATCTAGAAAAGGAAGTCATATAGGCTAATAATAATGCCGTTCACAGAAAATAATTATTGACGTTAAAAAATATGTTCCTCAGATTCACACAAATAATCGTAGTAGTCCTGAAAATAATAAGTTATATCTTAAAGGCAAAGCTAAAACCTTCATATCCTACCTATAAGTTGATTTATTTTCTGTTTTCTATAATGAATCATAAAGAAAAATTGTCACGTGACCCAAACCTACAATTTTTTTATTAATTTTGAGACCAGTTGAACTTAGTTAAGCACGGGTGAATTTTAATAACAAATTATAAGTTATAATGAAAAATAAATGGAATGAATAATCACAATTTTACAATAGAAAATTACTATATGTCTTTTGTTTTTCTTAATCTTAATGAGATGTAGTGGATTTTTTTACTTTCATGATAGTCAAAATTTAAAAAAATTCTTAATTCTCGGATACAAAGATTTCAACAAAAATTCATTGTACACTTACGATGTCATATCAAATGCACGAATATTAATTTTAAGTAGAAGGAATTTTTGTCTTACGTGATGGGACAAAAGTACTTTTTTTCGACGCAGTATGCTGGACATTTTTGTTTTATTCTGCATTACATGACCAACAATTCGCACATGCATTACATGTATCATAGCAAACGTGTAAGTAGTTAGAATGTGCGAATCACAATACCTAAGTACCCTTCATTTTTAAAGGTTTCAAAATTAAAGATATTTTTATAAGGCTAAAAGCAGAAAGCTTATTGAAATACAGTTTACTAATCCCCATTGAAATTTTTTAAAGAGGGGGAGAATTTCTTACACCGAGGAGAGCTTGTGTTATTAAATTTTATAATTTTTATTTCATAGAGCGGCCAGTAAGTGCCTCGAGTCATTGGGTGACTGACGCTTGTGTTGATAAATTTTATNCATTTAGGGTTGCAGCGCCAAACACGATTTTTAGACTATATACTACCGATCGCTCAGTTGAAAGGAATAAGTACTTACTTACGCATGTGTACATAATATCACATTTTAGATTGATACCCTTCGTCTCTCTCGTCATGAATGAGTTCATAGAGCCAACTGTGAAATCACACCGACTTGACCTCGGGGGGGCTTTGGCAGCCTCGCTTGCTTGGATCCCCCTTTTTTTCTCGTGCAGCTCTCATCTTCAAAGATAATTTTTTTAAAAATTTAGCTTTGATAAAAAAAATATAAATCCAAAGAGTAATCCCCAAATTTTTTTTATCAACTTTTTGACATTGATCGGTTTTATTAATTAATTTTTTAAATTCCTAAATCTTAAGTAATTTTGCAATGTTGTGTGAAGCAGTTTTTACATTCATGGTGTATATTACCCTCTTATACAATAACATCAATTCTCTTATTGTTGTATGTTTAAGTTATAAAATCAATTATTTGGTCAAATCTATATTGTATTTCATAGAGGACAAATAATTTTGGACTGAATAATTAGTTAATGTAAATAAGCGAGAATTGGTAATAGATTAATCCTATCGACTTACAAAGTTTACTGTTTATAAACGGTACGAAACTCAAGTGTCTTGAAACGTTAATTCAATATATTGGCGCATGTAAAATATGTAAAATAATAATAATCATTAAAAAGAAATGCAAACGTCAGCGTTTATAATATATAGTATTTGAATAAAAAAAAATCGACTTGTCAAAGCTGCTGAGTGATTCAGTAGCAAAAATATATAAATGAACTATGATGTAAGAAAAAGTAAATTAAGATTTTTTACATCCTGTACAAGATTGTTGTCCCCAACTAAAAATCAATCCAAAGCACACACAATTAGTTTTGTAAGTATTTAGACGATATTGTCATAGCTTGCATCAATAATCATTTNTTTGGTGCACTATAATTTTCACATGTCAGTTTCCTACAAGTAAATGATAATTTTTCAGACACGCTACAAAATTATTAAATATGACAATGTATGAAATATTCAAACCTTTTCCTCGAGTTACTTTTAACATTTACAGAATTGACTGATGAAGCACAATTTTGGAGAACTGATCCGTTGCTATGACTTGCAGTATTTGTCCCAAGTGGAAAATAGTTCGAACTACTTTCTTGCATATTCATAGTTGTTGACGCATTTTTTAATGTAGTTAAGCTCTGTATCACAGTAATACTAGAGTCTTCCAGGGAACTATTATCAGCATAATCATTTTTCCTTGTATTATCAAAAGATTCATGGCTGCTACGACTACCTTCGGTGACAGCTACTAGGGAATCATTTGATGCGTCAACTGTTGATACATGTTTGTACATAGGTGGGCTAAGTACCACATCACATTGATCCTGTTGAATATGACGAGGTTCAGACAAGCAAATTGTCTTCCCATCTTCATGTACAACTGGAAGTGCTCCTGTCAGCAACCTTCTTCGGCTTCGCCCTTCAGATTGATGAAAACTGTCTGCACTGAAGTGGTCACTACATATAAATTTAAATTTCACTTCTAAAGACATAGGTAAATTGAGAATATTCAGCCACTTCGTTCTTAAATTACAGTCACTTGGAAACCTGGTAAATAACGTTAAATTATTAAAGAATCAATCAAAGGAAATCCATTTTACGAGGTTACAATAATAATTAAACTTGCGTGTGAAAACTACGTTGATTCAGAGGGGAGTAAACCTCTTTACATTGCAAACATTGCTTCATTTTTCACTTTCAATTTACAGCTGCTCATTCAAAATAGTTTACGCAAACATAGGAAAAGCAATAATAAAATATTTAATAAACTATTACGTAGCAGACGTTTAGTGAGCAGTCTCAGCTGTCTACAATTCTGTAGTTCTTACTTCTCACATTATACCTATATATAGCACTAACACCACGCTTCCACAGCCACTATTCATCAGCCAATCAGAGGATTTTGCCAGAAAGAGATAGAGGGAACTATGGAGCAGTTATCTCTCTTGCTGCCTATATCGCGAGACTGAAGCCCTTGTTCCCTCTATGGCTTATATCTCTATGCCTTATTCAGTTCAAGCGACCACTATACCCGTGGCCAATCAACGCGCGGCATTACAGCAGCCAATCAGCGTAGTATGACAGATTGCATGCCACCGGCACATCGGTAGACTGATTATCGAGAGCTTCTGCTTCTTTTTTTTTTTCCAATCAAGTTTTTGCCATGGTAAAAGTGATAAGTAGTCTAATTACTTACTTATTATACTTGATAACAGCAATTCGACTCTTGTGATATACATATACATATCCACATATACATAGGCACACCGGTAGACTGATTATCGAGAGCGATAATACAAATATTTCTGTGATTATTTTTAGAAAATAATTTTACAAAATGTTAGTATCAATATATTAAACACATACTTGATGAACCGTAGTATGCAAAGTCCAACTTCATAATTTGTAATAGAAAAATTTGTCAAATAACAATTTTTTTCTGTTTCAGTAAATCCACGGTCTCCTGGAGGATCAAGTGCTCTTAAAAGAAAAAGCACTGATCCTGAGTATTACATTGTCATGAAAAATCGGAGACTTGACAATGTAATAAACAGTGTCGAAAATAACCAGTTGGGACCAGAAGGTATGTATTAAGAGGCCACCCATCCCTTTCCTAAGTGTTGAATGCCTTGAGTAGAGTGGGCTCTACTGTACCCTGACCCTGACGTATGACACTACATTATAAAAATATTTAAAAATGCAANATACTCCGTAGTTCTCTTATACTATCAGTTCCACTCTTGCGATTTTCTATGAGATCTTACCAATCACATCTATTTGAAACTCTTGAGCTTCTCTTTAATACTCTCTGATTCTCTTTTGCTTCTCCAATGCAATCTTTTGTTCTCATTGGTGAGAGTACTATTTCTGTGATTATTTTTAGAAAATAATTTTAAAAAATATTAGTAGCAATATATTAAACACATACTTGATGAACCGTAGTATAAAAAGTCCAAATTCATAATTTGTAATAGAAAAACTTGTCAAATAACAATTTTTTTCTGTTACAGTAAATCCACGGTCAGGGATCCCCACTGAGGGATCAAAAAGGAAAAGCACTGATAACGAAAATGGTTTACTAATAAAAAAGCGGATTCTCGACGATGAAATAAAAATTGTCCAAAAGATCAAGTTGAGGTCAGAAGGTATGTATTAGGAGGCCACCCATCCCTTTCCTAAGTGTTGAATGCCTTGAGTAGTGTGGGCTCTACTGTACCCTAACCCTGACTTATGACACTACATTATAAAAATATTTATAAATACAAATATTTTTAAAATTATTTTTAGAAAATAATTTTACAAAATGTTAGCAGTAATGTATTAAACACACAATTAATGAATTCTAATGTGCAAAGTCCAACTTCATAATTTGTAATGTCTAATTTTTTGTAGGTTGAGATGGAAAAAATTTATCAAATAACAATTTTTTTCTGTTTCAGTACATCCTGAGAGACCTAATGGGCTTAAGAGGAAAAGAACAGAACCAGAATATTGGATTGTTCGAAAGAAACAGAAACTTGATAACGAGGAAAACTGTATCAAGAACATCCATTTAAGACCAGAAGTTACTCTGACGCTTATTTCTAAAAATAGTGGTTCAACTGCAATCAAGGAAATATATCAAGACAACATCAACATTCCCAATTCCTTTGACGAAAGTTATCAAGAGGCTTGTGATGAAAGCTTTGAAAAACTCAAAGATGAGAAAGTTGAAGAAACATCCGTCAATTTAACTAGAAATAATGATTTCAGTTATCTTGAAAATTACAAAGAAATTAATTTGACGAGAATTAATCGAACTGGAAGTATTAAAGTTCTAAACCAAGATGAATTGCATAATTTATGTTTGCCTGATGAAGTCCATGCAAAAGATTCCGAAGCATGTTCACAGCTTGATGAATCAGAGGCTCAAATATCAACCAAGTTGGTTGCTGATCTTCCAGAAGTTTCCATTGAGCCTTGTACAAGTAATGCTAAAGCCAAAATTTCGGAATCCAAACCAAAAAAGCGCATATCATTTAAAAAAATTCAAGCAAGTCTCGAAAGAGCTGCTGAAGTATTGAAACAGCAAGAAGCTGAAAACGAAATTGCTACTAGCTATGATTTAGTGTCCTACAACAAGGATGGAAACTTGATTTTATCTACAATTCCAGTCAATGATGAAATCATTTCTGACCAAACCACATATCCCGAGGTATGTTCTTCATTGTTTGAAGAACCGCAAACACCTATTAGTACTTCTACAACTGCCACTACTGCCTGTGATTATGATCCCTTCAGTTATGTTGGGATTCCCGTTGAAATTTATTGGTCTAAGGACAAACCCTACTATGCTCATGGATTGCCAAACCCAGCAACAGAAAACAGATGTTGGATTAATGCAACTTTACAAGTTTTGTTTCGACTACCTGTTTTCAACGATCTTAGCTTGTTAGATATATCTAATTCTTCTAAATTGATAAGGTCACTTGAAAGTATTCAATACTACTGGAAAAGAGGAATGACCAGAAACTACGCTTACAATACAAGTTTTCAGTAAGTAATTAACGCTAAGCTTGTTTCCTTACACGATTTATTAGTTTATTTTGCAATCTTTAATTGTGTTATTTTTTGTTATAGTCATTTCAAAGAGGAGTTATCAATATTAGACGAAGGCTATTCATCCAAAGCCCAACAAGACGTTTCTGAATTTCTTATGAATCTATTGAATTTTATTAAAACGGAATTCGAAACAAAGTCCAAAGAATCACATAGTAATGAAATTGAAAATATACCTAATAATGAACAAGACACACCCAGAAAGTCACAAAGTACTTCACATGATTTGAATAAAAGATCACCATTGGCTGATATTTCTGCATCTACAGGTCAATCTAGAAGCAGTCATGTAACAAATAATGAACAACAAGAAAAGGGAAGTACTAAAACTCTTTCCTCACCAAAGTCTCAAAATGATAAAGCTGAAGCTAGGCCTAATGTCATTGATGACAATTTTTTACTATACATGGGGGAAAATTATTCTTGCCTTCAATGCTCTAAGAAAAAACAAAAAAACATAGAAAATTTAATGTTATTGATTGATTTGCCGTCCAAAGATTGTGATGGTACTCGTGACTTAATTGACATGATTAATACAACCTACGATACGGAACAAAGAGAACTGACGTGTGAATCATGCAAGCACGATAGACATACTATGGATACCAAGTTAAAGAAGATTCCAAAAATTTTGATGGCTCAAGTAAAGCGGTATGAAATGACTAACGAAGGTATTATCAACAAAAAATCAACTGAAATTGATATTCCACGGTTATTGCAACTTGACCGCCTTGTTATGTAAGTCTTTTTAATTTACCAGTATGCTGTACAAAAATTTGTTGTATCATTAATATGGTATTGGCTTTGTTTCAGACAAAACGATTCAGAGTTGAGTCTTTCTCCATCATATGAACCTGTTGGTATAATATCACACATTGGTGACAGCATAGACTCGGGACATTACATTAGTTTTGTGAAACACAAAGATGAATGGTTTTGTTATGATGATGCAAATGTAAAAATACTAAGTGAGGATGAAGTTTTTAAATTTGTACAAACGAATGCTTATGTAATATTCTTCCAAGAGACGGAGTCGTGCAAAAATAGTAATGTTACTGCGGAACAGAAAAAAGGTAATAATATTTGTTATTAACGATAATAGAAAAGATTTTCTCTTTGGGCCTGTTGGATGAAAGTAGTTATTTACGTTCGGCTACGCGAATCGAAAGTAGCACTTCTTTCCCGCAACATCACGGAAAGTGGTATACACACCACAAGTCGATAGCACAAGTCGATAGCGAAAAAAATTAGCTTTTTTTTATCAAAGCTAAATTTTTTAAAAAATTTATTTTGTACAAAGTTTAATGTAATAATAGTACATTACGCCACTAGAGCGCAAAGTGTCACTTTCCGCACTGGTATTAGTGTGGAAAATCGATTTTCCCACATAGTGTGCGGCAAAGGTTTTTCCGCACAGTGTGTGGCAAAGGTTTTTCGAAAAAACTTATACGCAACTCGTGCGGGACGATTTCCCACACTCGTGTGATAGACTCGCACTCGTGGCCGGTGACGGTAACTCGTACCTTGCGATCACACTCGTGCTACGCACTCGTGTGCTCAACTGGTACTTGTTCCCGTCAACTCCGGCACTTGTGTGAGTCAATAACTACTCGTGCGGGAAATCGTCTTTTCCGCACTTGTTGCGTAAATAACTATTTTTTGACATTTAAAGATAAACTGAATATTGAAAATTGCAGATGATTTGAGCAAACTCTTTGAAGAGAGAAGTTTCAAAGAATTTTTCAAATACTAATAGAATTAACTTTCAATGCTCAGTCTTGTTAAAAGTATAGAAGGGTAGTACATTACACACCTCCAGGGAGCGAAAGTAACGAATGTCTTAGATTTCATGTTTATTATCCCATATAGGTGAAGTCGAGTTATTGTGCATTCGAGTTTTTACAGTGCATTTATAGTGGGGACGCTGCTAGGGGAATTCAGGCTACAATCTTGCCTCTTCTGAATGGCATACAAGCATGCGAGGGGGCTGAAGGTATGTTCCTGCAACACTCTCCGACAGCTTAAACATAACGTAAGATGTCGTAAGACACAATAAAGTTGTCGGTAAGTTGTTGGGCAGCATCACTGGAACACACTCCAAATACATACAGTGCGAGTGTATGATAGCGCTGTTCACAGCAGCCAACACAGCCTATCGTGTGCTCGCATTGTTTGTATGCCATTCAGAAGAGGCAAGATTATAGCCTGAATTCCCCTAGCAGCGTCCCCACTTTAAATGCACTGTATAACTCGACTTCACCTATATGGGATAATAAACATGAAATCTAAGACATTCGTTACTTTCGCTCCCTGGAGGTGTGTAATGTACTACCCTTCTATACTTTTAACAAGACTGAGCATTGAAAGTTAATTCTATTAGTATTTGAAAAATTCTTTGAAACTTCTCTCTTCAAAGAGTTTGCTCAAATCATCTGCAATTTTCAATATTCAGTTTATCTTTAAATGTCAAAAAATAGTTATTTACGCAACAAGTGCGGAAAAGACGATTTCCCGCACGAGTAGTTATTGACTCACACAAGTGCCGGAGTTGACGGGAACAAGTACCAGTTGAGCACACGAGTGCGTAGCACGAGTGTGATCGCAAGGTACGAGTTACCGTCACCGGCCACGAGTGCGAGTCTATCACACGAGTGTGGGAAATCGTCCCGCACGAGTTGCGTATAAGTTTTTTCGAAAAACCTTTGCCACACACTGTGCGGAAAAACCTTTGCCGCACACTATGTGGGAAAATCGATTTTCCACACTAATACCAGTGCGGAAAGTGACACTTTGCGCTCTAGTGGCGTAATGTACTATTATTACATTAAACTTTGTACAAAATAAATTTTTTAAAAAATTTAGCTTTGATAAAAAAAAGCTAATTTTTTTCGCTATCGACTTGTGCTATCGACTTGTGGTGTGTATACCACTTTCCGTGATGTTGCGGGAAAGAAGTGCTACTTTCGATTCGCGTAGCCGAACGTAAATAACTACTTTCATCCAACAGGCCCAAAGAGAAAATCTTTTCTATTATCGTTAATAACAAATATTATTACCTTTTTTCTGTTCCGCAGTAACATTACTATTTTTGCACGACTCCGTCTCTTGGAAGAATATTACATACGCATTCGTTTGTACAAATTTAAAAACTTCATCCTCACTTAGTATTTTTACATTTGCATCATCATAACAAAACCATTCATCTTTGTGTTTCACAAAACTAATGTAATGTCCCGAGTCTATGCTGTCACCAATGTGTGATATTATACCAACAGGTTCATATGATGGAGAAAGACTCAACTCTGAATCGTTTTGTCTGAAACAAAGCCAATACCATATTAATGATACAACAAATTTTTGTACAGCANGCAGATGATTTGAGCAAACTCTTTGAAGAGAGAAGTTTCAAAGAATTTTTCAAATACTAATAGAATTAACTTTCAATGCTCAGTCTTGTTAAAAGTATAGAAGGGTAGTACATTACACACCTCCAGGGAGCGAAAGTAACGAATGTCTTAGATTTCATGTTTATTATCCCATATAGGTGAAGTCGAGTTATTGTGCATTCGAGTTTTTACAGTGCATTTATAGTGGGGACGCTGCTAGGGGAATTCAGGCTACAATCTTGCCTCTTCTGAATGGCATACAAGCATGCGAGCACACGATAGGCTGTGTTGGCTGCTGTGAACAGCGCTATCATACACTCGCACTGTATGTATTTGGAGTGTGTTCCAGTGATGCTGCCCAACAACTTACCGACAACTTTATTGTGTCTTACGACATCTTACGTTATGTTTAAGCTGTCGGAGAGTGTTGCAGGAACATACCTTCAGCCCCCTCGCATGCTTGTATGCCATTCAGAAGAGGCAAGATTGTAGCCTGAATTCCCCTAGCAGCGTCCCCACTATAAATGCACTGTAAAAACTCGAATGCACAATAACTCGACTTCACCTATATGGGATAATAAACATGAAATCTAAGACATTCGTTACTTTCGCTCCCTGGAGGTGTGTAATGTACTACCCTTCTATACTTTTAACAAGACTGAGCATTGAAAGTTAATTCTATTAGTATTTGAAAAATTCTTTGAAACTTCTCTCTTCAAAGATAATTTTTTTAAAAATTTAGCTTTGATAAAAAAAATATAAATCCAAAGAGTAATCCCCAAATTTTTTTTATCAACTTTTTGACATTGATCGGTTTTATTAATTAATTTTTTAAATTCCTAAATCTTAAGTAATTTTGCAATGTTGTGTGAAGCAGTTTTTACATTCATGGTGTATATTACCCTCTTATACAATAACATCAATTCTCTTATTGTTGTATGTTTAAGTTATAAAATCAATTATTTGGTCAAATCTATATTGTATTTCATAGAGGACAAATAATTTTGGACTGAATAATTAGTTAATGTAAATAAGCGAGAATTGGTAATAGATTAATCCTATCGACTTACAAAGTTTACTGTTTATAAACGGTACGAAACTCAAGTGTCTTGAAACGTTAATTCAATATATTGGCGCATGTAAAATATGTAAAATAATAATAATCATTAAAAAGAAATGCAAACGTCAGCGTTTATAATATATAGTGTTTGAATAAAAAAAAATCGACTTGTCAAAGCTGCTGAGTGATTCAGTAGCAAAAATATATAAACGAACTATGATGTAAGAAAAAGTAAATTAAGATTTTTTACATCCTGTACAAGATTGTTGTCCCCAACTAAAAATCAATCCAAAGCACACACAATTAGTTTTGTAAGTATTTAGACGATATTGTCATAGCTTGCATCAATAATCATTTGTATGGTTTGTTCCTAATCAACGCATTTATTCTTGACAATAATTTATGTGACTCCATGAAATTTGAATTAAACATGCAAGTATACAAATACTCGTACATGTGGACGTGAGTTCGCGTACGCAAATATAAAAATGAATTGTATACCTAAAGAATCTGAACACGATTACTGCATAACATTTTAGCTACCGAAACGGAGCATAATTATTTTCTAAAACGATGTATTTTTAAATGAAATGTAAATAAAAATAAAAATGTCTGCAAAATACTGAAAACGCAATTTTTATTTATGTCAATACATTATAAAAATTACTTTAAAACACATACAACGAAAAGATATGGTCATTGGAAAGTGAAACAAAATACTGTCTAGTATACAATCTGGCATTGAAAGCCTTGCACGTTTCTTGATGTATATCCAGTTCTAGCCTAAAGCGTAAACCTGGGATGGTATTTTTACGTATTGTGTAATTTTATTTCAGTCACGAAGCTTTTATGCTAAAAAAAAAAAGTACGCAATTTGCTATGTGCACAATATGGGACAGCGCAACGTCACCTCAGCCCCAGTAACATTAATTTCTAGCTCTTGGATTAGATGTATGTATATAAGTATGAAAAAAAAAAATAATAAATTCAATACATTATGAAATTGTACATACAACAAAATCAGCGATAATTTTTTTTTTCATTCTTGTTTAATTGGAATGTTATTAATATTACGTGTAAGTCAATTTTGATTTAGCACCTGTCTGATGGAAAGTGAGTGTTTTTTTGTGTGTAAAAACAAATTGCAACTAAGTGGTTGAAGTAATCAACTTGTAATATTATGTTTATGTTACAGAGAAATTTTTCGAAACATCATATTACGGGATGAAAATTTTTAATAAAATATGAAATTAGATTAATCAGATGAGATTACGACAAAAATGCATAACAGAAGGTGAAGCTTAAAAAAAAAAAACAGAAATTTAAGTAAACGATTTGATATAAATTTTAACAGCTAATTTACCGAGAGAATAAGGAAAAGTAAAAGTAAAACTGTGTATGCGCGAGTGACATATTTTTCGCAAATATTTCAAAAAGTATAATTGTTGTATATCCTGCCGTACCAGCTGCCGCTGCCACACGGCAGAGTGAGTGCACTGCAATGCAAGATGCGTATATGATGATATCGTAAGGTAAAACAGTTTTTATGCCAGAGATGATCTCTGTTTATGCATAACATATTTTAAAAAAACATGTGCTTTTTCACTCCTCGTATTCTTCGTAAAAAAGAGGCTACTTAGGCGACCTTCTTGCAGCAAAATTTCCTACTTTTTCCTCTACCCCCCTCGCTCTATTGGGAGGCGACCCATTCCTTTCCCAAAGTGTGGGCCTTAATGTATTCTGACGTATGACGCTACATTATAAAAAAATAAGAAAAGTAAAAAAATGTACTGCTCTCATCAGATGAAAACTTACACATTACTTAAATCCCCAACAAACATTTTTTTGTCCATTACTCGAATTTCCAACTTTTTTTGAAGGTCATTGAACCTTCACGATTTATTTGCTATATCTATACGTTTTTCTCTCCCAGATTTTCTCAAATTTAATCATTTTTTTCAATTCAAACAATTAATAATTTAGAAAAGTTTTTAATTTCACACAAAAAATATGTTTATTGAGTGTTTTTGAAGTATTTTACTTTATACTTTTTATTACTTACATAAAAAAATGTTTAAAAACTCATTTTTGATAACTACTCTACACAATAATGTTTTAAATAAACTGTACGTTTGATTGTATTTAAATTTTATTCACAATATATTTGGTTCCAACACCATCCATAAAAAACAAATCATTTATGCGTATTCATGAACGCGCAACTGAATTTACTTGCACTATGGAATTATAAAAAATTCACTTCAAACTATTACTGCGCAATACATTGCAAATAAATTTTACAGCTGTACTATTTGAATATTACATTGTTTTCGAGGTCATCACTAATTTAACTATTTACATACTTGGTACTGCTGAAACAAGAGCCAGGAATGATTTAATTAATTTTTGTAACACTTTATTAGCATTGTAGAGGTTTTCGTGGGAATCATAATAAAAATAGTGAAGGCATCTTGTTGAGACTTATAACAATTACACCTACATTTTATATTTGAGCTGTATGATTTACTGTTAATGCTTCAATTTATTTTACCAAACACCCATCCATCCATGAATTTTATTTGATAAACTTTTTCTTCTGAGCATGTAAAAAATGAATATTTATAATTTGTAATTAAATAGAAATTTTATTTTAACAAAACGTTAAGGTTGAGTTTTATGATAAAATATAATGATAAATTTCTACAAGGAAATAATACAAAGACTAAATTGAATGAAAAATGGACATATCATATATTTTGTTTGCTTTAGACCATTTTATAAACGTTAATAAAAACTGACAATCAACTGTAAACAAAATAGTTTGATTCTCCATCAGCTATTTGTAATGGCAGAAAAAGGAAATTATAAATGACGTATCAAACGTTTTCCATCATAACCGTAGTAATACTAAGCGCTGAAAATTTGAAAAACAATATAAAATTATCGTTTTATATCTCCGTTTGAAATTATGTCTCGAGAGTCTCATATCCACTTAAAGGACATTATAATTCCTAAATACTTTCTTTACGTGTCTTTAAAAATAATTTAATAGACTTAACAATGTAATCACATGCTATTCTTTGCCGGACGCTTTATTCATAACATATAGTTCTGACTTGAAAGTAATCTTTGATTGATTTGTGAACTATTTTTTAAAATTAGTATACTTTCAAGCACTAAACAAAAACAAAATATTCAACCAACTCAAACTCGATGCAAAGAAAATACATGATTGATCATCACAATTATTTTTAGGAAAAAAAGTCAACATCTTTTTCTTATAATAGTAAGTTAGGTATGTGACGCACATTTCTTAACACAATCGGTTTTTCCAGTTAAAAAAAATGATATCGCCACAATTATATGATATGGAAAAACATAAACAATTGAATGATCATTTGATAGACAAGAGTTATGGATGCAACGCATCAATATGACTCGATTGGTACAAGTATTAATGAGTTTTTCTTAAGCTTTATTAAAACAATTTTAATAACTAATCGATGATAACGTAAGGCAATATGTGGAGGATTTGGCCATCGCAGCTCGGCCTTGCGAGCATCTCGTGCCATTCTCGAAATACTTCGTCCTTATGGCTATCCAAAGGCCTTTGCAAGCCAACAACACTATCAATTTCAAGTTTCACTTCATTGTCATCATTGCAAGTCTTTGATAAATCACTGTTTTCAAGGGGAAACCAAAATTTCGGCTGAAAATTTCCGTTCAGTCCTTCATTGCATTCGCGGTGTAACCTCACAAGGTCATCCTCGGTAATTTCCCACTTCACTACGTTACTTTTGTTTACCTCACCATCAGCCTCTTCACTACCAGCTTGGGCATCGTACTTTTCATCCTCACCCCAATCTATTGAATCACGATCTAATGGCGGCAACTTGGCAAGTATCTCCTCGACCGTCAGATCCTGTGTCTTTATCTTATCGTCGGTGGCTAATTCCGAATCTCGCGTATCATCGTCAACAGAATCCGAATCTACATACTTTCGGGATTCCTGCTTGATACCTTTTTCCGCAGGCGATAATTTTTTGTAGGAATAGTTGTGATTATTAGACAGATATTTGTGGTTTTCACTGTCTTTTTTATTCCTCACGCTCTTGGCATTCGGGTTATTGACACCATGACTAGGTAAAAGATTGGCAATTGAGTTGGAACCTCGAGCCTGCAAGTCAGCTAGCAACTCTTGAGTCGTTTTAAGTTTCGGATTTCGCGAAAAACTAGCAAGTTTTTCTTTTACACTGTCCTCAACAGACACTTGTTTTTTTATCGACTTACTACCTTTCTTCCTACCACGTTTTTTCACTACATTGATCTCATCATTGGAGGAAGGCTCTATAAGTTCTGGATTCCTTTCTTTAAGGGTAGGGCTAGGCACTTGCGAGTTTATATTGTTACCACTCAAGATTTCACCGTTCAGTCGCTGTTTTTTGATTGGGGGTTCGACATCAATAATAATTACTTCATCTTTTCGTAGCCGCTTGTTTGAACTGTGAGTCCTGGGCACTGCTTCTTGCAAATAGTTTTGACTGCTACTTTTCACTTCTAACTGAGCAGAGTTAGAATTTAGCCTGTGATTACTCACGGGAGTTACGGATGGTTTGATTGGAGATATGACTGGTGAACGTGACTGATCACTATGCAGCGACAAAGATGGGCTTGAAACCTGAAAATGATGTTGTAGTTATTTTTTATGAACATCTTGAAAAAAAAAGCATTGAATAGAACGTAAAAATTTCTTACCCTGCTAAGAGAGGTAGTTTTCAAAAGAGGGCTTTGAGGTTTGAGACCTCTGAATGCTGGGCTCTGAGGTTTCAGATTTCTTAGGGCTAGGTTTTGCGTGTTGGTTCCATTGAAGACCGTCGGCGCCGTATCTGCAACTGTGGGCTGTGGAGTAGCTTGTGCAGGAGGTAACAATAATCCTCGCCATCTACGCACAAGGTCTTTTGCCCGTTTGGCCAGAGCATCGTTACTCGTTTTTCTACGCAACTCATTAATGTGCTTTCCAAGCCTGGTGCTCTACAAATTAATTTTTTTTTAAATGTCAAATATTTAGTAACACAAAAAATAGAATGTGAGAGTTTTTATTGCTGTTCAGATAACTTGACGCATTAGTTGATTGAATTCATACTTACTTCAAGCGCTTCTTTGGTGATGGTAGTCTTTTCCAAGGCCGTGATGACTTCGACAACGAATCCCATATTAGTAACCTGTGCAGAAACGACACGATCGTTAATTTTTGGGGCCAGAGGCGCTTGCGAGAAATAAAGTATATAATACATGATGACGTTGGGGCGCGTGTTTCTCTCTAGCCTCTTGTATTGAAAGATGCCAAATCACTTGATTTTAGAGTACTATAAGAAAGGGTTTTCGAAGATACTTACGTTAGGGAACATGCGTTTCTGAGGCTAATATATATATATATGTGTGTGTGTGTGTGTGTGTGTGTGTATAAAAAAGATATCTACATGGTATATATACGTTGTCTTATGTAAGCTGAAGGGAAAAATGTATCGGAGCAGTCGAGAAACCCTGTTGTAGATGAGGGAAATAAAAAAAAATGATATAAAAATGCTTGATACTAGTTGGAGGTCGAATACGGGTGTGTGTCGTAACGACACACAAGTGCGCCTCGACAGCACATGCATAAATGTGCGAAATCACGATGTCCCTTTCGCCGAAAAGGGAAATCCCAAAGTGCGGTGCACACGTCAGAGCAGCAATCTCGCGGCTTAAAAATAAATGTCGTACATGTATTTTTTTTTTTTTTCCCAAGAAGCGAGAGGGGCGGGCAGGAGAGAAGAGGCACAAGTAGAGTAGCGTGGTTGCTGTAGCTTTAGCATGGGTATATTGAATTTCCTGTGTCGGTCATCGAACGAGAACAAAGTAGGTATACCCAAGTACTGAAGTATCTCTCGAAGAAGGGCAGCAAGGCACGAGCAGACCGTCAGACCCTCTATTCAAGATTGTATTCCGGATTCCCCAGTTTTTAAAGGTCACTGAAATATTTCAGAAGGTGTCTCGAATGTTCGATGGGGGGGGGGGAGGGGAACGAAGACGCAATAATCAAGACAATAATTATCATCTGGTACCTGCATGTACACATGATAGACACGGATGTAGGCTACACGTTTGTGTGAGTAAGAAGGTATCAGACACGTCTTTTCGAGACGAAGAGCATTTTAGTCGATGGGCATGTGCGCTCAAATAAAGTGTAAGCTGCAAGCATCAAAGCGGTACACTTGCTATTTAAAGGGGAAACGATTGGTAGGCAATGTACAACGATATGGTATACGGAGATACGCGCGCGCGCGCAGACGTCATCTACGAGTAACGAGCGCGAGCGAGACGGAAGAGGGTTGTATGAGTCGTGGGGGCAGTAGAGCCGCAGCATCGGCAGCTGGCCTCACCAGCAGAGCAGCCGGGGGAAGCCGCGACGACGGCTGCCACACCAGCAGGAGCCATGCGGCAGACGGAGCCCCTAGGTACGGAGATAACTGAGGGGGTGCGCGAGGGAGGAGCAGTCGTGGTCGTGGGGCATCGCTGACAGTGTGCTAACGGAGACGACGAAAGAGAGAGAGAGAGAGAGAGAAAGAGAGAAAATATCGAGTAGAGTGCAAATGTGTGAGAGCGTTTCCCCCCTTACCACCTCCCTCTTTTATCAGCCCAAGCACGAGTCGTATTACTGTTGCACATAGTATGTAGGGACCGGACCCGATAGCCTACAATGAGGACAACGACGGCGACAGCGGTGAAAGGGCTTTAGTTCAAATGGCGGCTGCAGGGACTCGACACTTACATTGTAATCCTGGTCAACGGACAACAACAACTTTTCGGTGAGGTCGGTGAAATACTTCTGCATCGGGGGGGCTTGTCGGCTGATGGTGCGTTCCACCAGAGCAGCGAGCCCTCGCAGAGGCGGTGGCGGCGGCTGCAGCACCTCCTCCTCCTCCACCACGTCCTCGTAGGTGTCGGGCTCGTGTTGGCTCTCTCGTGGGGGGCCAAATGGCGAAATATGCAGCTCGGTCGCGAGGCAGACACGGCTCCGCGGGCCGTCCGTCTGTCCCTCAGTCTCAGTAGTAGGGTTATTATACGTATGGTAATGGTAGTAGTGACAATAACAACAATGCTGACAAAATGTATAGATATATGGGGTTGTGGGTAGATAGGAGAGTTGTCCGTCGTGGTAGTAATAGGTCGTGTCTCTCCGTTCGTGTGCTGTGCGCAGCGGCAGTGCGCGACAAGCGGGCAGCAGCGACGGCGGTGCTGTATATTCTCCTTCCCTTTCTGTCACTACTCCCTTGGTACGACTCTCTGTATCTACTTTGCAGCGGCACAAGCAGCGCAAGGTGTTGTTGATCGTCTTCGTGCCAGTAGTAGCAGCTGCACAGCGCGCTCGTGTCTGCACGGGACAGCTGCAATGGCGACACTGAGCAGTACCTCCGCTCGCGTGCCCTCCCTGCCTCCCGAGTGTCGCTGGCCATCGTCGCCTGCCCCACGCGCCGCCAGGCGAGCGCTACTAACGCCGCCGTGAATGCGCGAAGCCCGATGCTCCGTTGCTCAACTTCATATATGTTTATACGTATACACATGTGCATTTGTGTATATATATACTTCTTTGCTTTCTTCTCTCTCCCCTCTTCAGAGGAAGCCACATCCACACACCACCCGCCCCTCTGCGGCAGCTGCGCGCGCATGTATCATTTTGTGTCGATTGTCGTAACCCGCGAAATTTGAATGCGGTGACTACGTTTCACAGCAAACAAGACTAACAAAATAACAATTGTTGCATCGTTACTAACTCAAAATGACTGTACTTACTCCTTACCTATATCTTAATTTCAGGCATTTGAATTTCGTTTTGTGTTACAAGTACGATCAAACTTTTTGCGGACCAGTCAATTCGGACTGATTTACATGAATATTTTTATTTCGTACCTGCGGGTGAAAATTTGCGGTTACACGTTGCGAGAGAGAGAGTCATATTCCTTTGAATAGGCACGAAAAATCAGTTGTACTTAAATAGCCGGAAAGAAGGGATCAAAAAGTTCTTTATTTTTCCTCCTCGGTGAGTATAATGATTTATGTGTTATTTACTATTGAAAATTAATTGACTCATAACAATTTATTCACATACCGTATATCTCAATCGTTTCTTGTGTTTGTAAAAAATTGGAAAAAAAAAACCACATATTTATGTCTAATGTTTTCCAATAATCTACTTATTACATAGAAATTCTTGATTAAAAAATCATCCGCCGTGAAAGGTTTGGCCAAACTTGCCGATATATAGCCTGTGTGAGTAAATTTACAATAAGACAGTGTTATGACGTTAATTGATGTTGAGTCACTTATTTATGACGGTTTGCCATGTTTTTATATATGGTATACTCGGAAATAAATAAGTATGTCGAGGCATCGAGGTGTACCGTTGCTTCTTACTGTTTGGACGGTATGGTATACGTACGCATTACACCTCGGAACAGAATAGGGCACCGATTCGTTTATCACTTTCAGATGATACGGTAAGCATTACCCCTTGAAGACCAAAAACTGTGAAGCTACTTAGTAGTGATCAGAGATTTAAATGCCAGCCGAGAAGATTGCAGAGCAAGTGAGTACTGGAAGTCTTTACACAAGTTTTACAGGCATAAACTGTGGTTTTGGGACACTCCAAAAGACTTATTGATGCGGGCCGACGAATTGCGAAATACTTACCAATGTCTTTTGTCTCACGTAGTGTATATATATATATATATTAAAAAATCAAGTCTTGCACGTGATAATGAAATGAACTCTGTAAGTATATTATTTAACTTTTGTATTGATTAAGCAACTATGTACAATTTATACATTCATAATTATACATTTACATTAAAAGTATTCGAATACTTGTGAGATCTCACGAGTAATTTCATATATATTTGACTGTCTGACTTACATTTTGTACAATAAGTTATGCAAAACAATTTTTTCTGCAGATCACGAAAAAAGAGAAACAAAACGAAAAGTCTTGGATGAATACCACTAAAGATTATCAATCTTGATAGGTACATACACCAAGCTGATAAGTGTATGCAAGTTTTAATCTATATTTTCTACTATTAAACACTAAAACTTTCTCCACACCCACATGTACCCTTAATATTGGGATTGTTGAACACAAATTCAGAGCTTAATTTGTTTTCAATGTAATCCATTTCAGTTCCAAGTAATGACAACTGGGCCTTTGTGTCAATTATCACACAAACACCATCTTGAATAACTTCTTCATCCAGTTTGCTTTTCTCTGTAGCATAATCCAATGTATAACTTAAGCCATTGCACCCTCTTTGCCTCACACCAACTTTTAATCCAATCTGCAATAAAACAAGATAAAAAAAGAGTCCCACTAAATAGTATACATGTATCAATTTATAATTGTTCTCACATATTCTGGTTTATCGTGCAAAATTTCTTTGATTTTATTGATTGCATTCGGCGTCTGAAAATACAAATATTAATTCGTAAATTGTAGTTCATTGTAAGACTAGATAAATGAAAGCTCTTGCAACACTTTTGACAACTTTTAAAAATAGGTTATACTTTTCGAGCAGTCATGAAGAAAAAAAAAAAAAAAAAAAAAAAGCAAGTAAATTGTGCAAGCATTGATCAACAAAACATATATACTAAAAATGATCGACAGAGATGAAAAACGTACTAAAACCAAAGCTGCCCGGGATGGCAGAATTTTTCTCCCCTTGACAGCTCGAACTGTCGCACTAGCTACGATGCGCGAAGCCATTTCTGAACTGTTCTCTCTGAAAGATTACTCCCGTTATTGTTCACACCTCTTCTTATTCTCTAATAATGCATGCACACGTGTAATGTGTACCTTTTAAGCTCTGACATTACATCCTATCCGAAATCCTATTTTGGAACAGTTTATATTATTTTTAAGCTGTGCTCCAAAATAGAGAATCATGTCACGTGTGGTGTGGATGTGGAAGTAGGAAAGGAGGGAAGGGATAGAGGGTATATATCTATAATATATACATATGTTGCCTTGTACTCGCGTCTGCTTGCTTGCACGCACGCGATAAATATTGTAAAAGATTGAGAGGAGATTGCAAAATATTAGTGATTATAGGTACTATATCGAGCAATTACACCTGAAATCCTGATATCGGACTATTTGATCCCAATGTCAAGGATCAGCGTATACATGTATGTTGCAGAATGCGTCAGATAACTTTCCTCAACTGACAACTGCAATGATGCAATTATTCCCGCAAGTATATATATTATTCTATTAATGCTGTGTTGAAAGTGTTATGACTTTGGTCATTTGAGTAGTGCTGCTGAAATGCTAATTAACGGTGCATCAAAAAGAAATCCATTTGAATTGTTTTATTTGATGTGGCAAGTGCCGATAGTATCAATAAGCCAATATAGTAAAACAATGCTGCCGTTTATTTTTCTCATATTACGAATCATACAAATAAAGGTAGTCATTATTCATGAATGAATTCAAGATTTTAAACTTTTAAAAATTTGTATTTTTTTTGTTAAATTTTTCTCATATACTGTTTGAAAGTACAAGATTATCGATGCTACTCCTTTTATCACCAACAATTTGCATCAACTAGTATACTGTAGATACCGTTGTGATGTATAAACTAAAAGTCATGTATAAACTTAACATTATCAAATGTTAGCAATGCAAGTACATTCAACAAATAAGAATTGTGTGCGTTAAAACGGAAAAAAAAAATCATTTCGTTTATTCCATTAAAAATAAAAATCCATGTTTTTTTTTTTATAATATTTTAAAAACAGTGAGTATAATCCTTGTTTTTTATACTTTTTCTAGTTATTAATTAATAACATTTAGTTGGTTGATAACTTTTTTTTTTTTTTAAGAGCATTTTCAGTATTATCATATTATTGTGAGAATGCACTTAATTATAGTTAACCGTATCTGTTATTCTTTTGTCCTTTTATTTTCCATACACCATATTTTTTAAAAAAGCTCCTTAACATTCCCAGTTAATAGTTTATAGATGTATACTACACCTGGTTGGTAAAATCTTACTGGCTATTTGTACAAAAGTATGGTAATGCAGCCTATATCGTTTTTTTAAATATTAATAAGACGTTAGCACAACCATCCTAAGTTTTGTTCTTTTCAAATGGGTTAATATGAAAACGGAACTTTCCTTTAAAGAGTTATCAAATGTAAGGCAAAATTAATTTCATTAAATAAAAAATTAGTCATTCAGTTAACTTAATTGATATATTTACTTAAAAGCAGAGCATTAGAAAAATAACTACTTTTAAATAGTAGTTAAATCAGTGAAATGTTCCATTCCGACATAGTAAATATTACAAAGCGCATGTACGATCGCATAGCCTTACATAAGTATGCAGCTGCTTTATTTTTAACGCAATATTTATGCACGCTCGTATCTTGAAATTTGTATTTTACAGTACCATAGAAAGGTGTAGATAAAATCCACGAAAATGCAAGATATATATGTATATATGTATATATATATGTATGTACAGATACACTATTACGTTGAGTCACACGTTATTTGAACACAAGAACAAGTATGCCATTAATTTATGTTATATAAAAACTGACACATGCGCAACGTTATCCACGAAATGTACTAATATAATCTTGCATTCCCAGTGACTCTTATCGAATTTACTTCAATTTCATCTGATAATATATTATTTCCATTAAGCTAAATTTTTTTTTTTTTTTTTGTAACAATAACTTTTGATAAAAAGCAAAGAAAGACTGTTACAGTCAAACTCATCTTTCTAACGCCAATAAAATGATTCCCATTTTCAATTAAAACGATTAGTACTTCAAATAAAAAGTTTATTTATTTTTTACTCTTTTTTTTCTTTTTCTTTTTTATATAATAAAGTTGTTCTTTACCGATGAATGTATGATAAAGGAGTAAAATGTTCGGACCGATAATAACAATATATCACTCCATTTTATAATGTAGCACCCCACCCACGGTTCGTGCTAAACGCGTGCTTTACTCTTTTTCAGTTTGCAGCATAAACTCAATGGCAAGATTTTCATTCTTCTCACAAGCAAAGTAGGCTTGAACAACAAGATCTTCTGGGAACCCAATGGACTTTAGTCTTTCTATAGCCTCTTTGTCTTGTGGTGTGATTTGCATAACTTCAGGTGATCCAGCTAAACTTAGACCCCCACCACTGCCAAGCAGTCCTCCTTGAGATAGTTCAGAAGCAGCTGATGCAGGAACTGAACTGCTACCGCCAGTCGTTTCACCTAAAATTGGAGAACACCCTTTATGAATGTATTTATTAAGCATGATGAAAAATCATACAGCTAAAGAGTAATGATGATATAGATCCTAAAAATGATTTAAAGTGTTAATTATGATATTAGAGCGTTAAGCAGGTGATTCTCGCCCATGTGTGACTATTGTCAAAGTTGAGCAAAGCGAGGATTACGGTCACACGAGGATGAGCAGCATTTTACACTTGTGCGGTATACGATATTTTTTGACATGAGGGGCACAAACTTCAAATTTCACACTGCCTTGCATAGCTGGTGGAAAACACTCGATTTTTTCACCACACCGAGTGCGAAAAAGTTTGCACACTCGTTATGCGAATGCTTTGCACCCGTTACACATGGCAGAAAAGATGAGCTTCGCAGCCAGAGTGCCAAAAATATTTATAAAAAATATTTACTAGGCTCATTAAGCATTCTAACAAAAACTTCTTGGTTTTGTGATATGAGTTGCAAAAGTGCAGGATTTGTTGATCCAATTTGTTGAAGAACAGGATTTAACAATTGAGGGTTCTGCTGAATAACTCGTCTCATATTATGAAATTGTGGTTGTAAACGCAAAAAAGCCAAAGGATCTTGGTCCTCATCTTGTGAACTTGTTGGAGGACTACCTCCTAATAAATATTCGACCGCTCTGTCTGGATTGTTGTGGCTTTCCCTCAAGGCCTGTTCCACTTGCTCTCTTCCATACCTAAGTAATATAAGAAAAATTATTTATTACATGTTTTACAGGACTAAAAACTAATGTACATTGAAAGTTTTGTTTACCCTATATCCATGATTCTTTTCACCATGTCATTGTATTCTTCTCCAACCAACAAGACACTTTCTGCTTGGGCAAATCCACCAGTGGTAGCGGTATCCGTTGACAAGTTGCTTTCTGTGGGCCTAGTTGGTGCGCTGGTTTGAGTTGCTGGTGTTGAAGGTGGTGTACTAAAACAACATCATAAATGCATCATTAATCCTCCACTAATGATAAGTAAAAACATAATTAACACTTCAAGCCCGAAACTCACCTAACTGCTGCTGCTACTGTGGGGGTTGAAGGTGTTGTTGTTGGTGTGGTGGTAGCTACTTCAGGCGAACTTTTAGGTTCTTTGTCCTTGCTCTCAGATTCGGCACTTTTATCTACGCTAGAACTTGCTTCAGATGTAGCCTTGGGCTTTGATACCATGACAACAATGAATTTTTTTTCATCAATGTTGTACTCGCTTAGAGGCTGTTCATCGACTAATATTTTTCCTACGAAGAAAACAAGCAGTTAAATATGCATGACGATGTGTTTTTTTTTTATCATTCAACACCGAATTTCTAACCTAATGATAGCACTGAACAAGCGTATTTTTTTTTTTTTCCATCTCAGCAGTACAAAAATAGCTTGTGAAAGTCGTGAAAAGAACAGACATTTAAAAATACACTGATGATCAGTACACTTTAATTTTAAAAAGTACGTACTCAAGCCTTTGTTAGAAGCTTATTTCATAAATACGTTAGTTATTAAAATACTAGTAGTCAATGTAAAATCCATGCTTTATTTTCTGAGTAGGTATTACACAAGCTTAAAAAAATTGTAATTTTAAATATACGATTTACGGAAAGACGAATTGAGCTTAGTATCAGCCGCGATAAGCATTGAGAGTATACAAAGTATACCTACAGGTTCAAGTTTAATCTTGTAGAGGGTCATGCAAGTATAAAGCTCACACAGAGAGCAACTTACCGGCGTAGATGAGCTTCTGGTAGAGAGCAGGGAAACCTTTTTGCGTCTCGATCTTATCCTTGAGTTCTTTAACCTAAAAAGAGAAGGTGAGCAATATGAAAGACCCGGACGCGAGAATACATAAGAATTAATAATGTAGCACAAAAGGCGATGTCAGGTGAAAATGGATGTAAAGGTTATCCTGCGCGGCTATCTTTGAAAGCGCTGACTCACCGTCTGCGAGGATTCGATCTCGATGGTAAACGTCTGCTGCTGGAGATTCTTCAACGTGACGATCATCGTGGCTGACGATTACGATATCGTGATATCGGTGATGCAGGGCAAACTGTATTATTTGCTATCGAGATTATTGAGTTGGTGGTATTTTATATGTTGGCGTAGGCCAAACGACTCGCGAAAAATATATACAACAGAGGCAACGGCAGCGGCAACCCCCCCGGGTCTATAAATTGTACTCAAACTCAACTAGCTCTACTTCGCCGCTGGCGTGTGGCGTGTGCACACAACACGCACTATGCAGAGACACGCACTGGTGCAGTCTTCATCTTCAATTCTAGCACGGAGTGCACACACAAACGAACCCATGGTCAAACCATAGCATATAAGAAACATAGACTGCTCAAAGTGCTCATTCCAGTTGACCGAGTCTTTTTGATTTTTTTTATCTCTCTCTCTCAGTCAACTTACTAGTTTGCTGACATGTCTATAAAAAAAGAGATGAGAGACAACACGTAAGTATAGTGCACTAACATCATGCCTATATATACTTAGCACCAGAAGGAGAAAATGTTGTGGTTTTTCTGAAAATTTTGTGGCTGTTTTTTTTAGCTTCTTATTGAATTACAATTGTACAAAAGTTATCTCGTCAAGTACTTAAAGGTAAAAATTTACTTGTGCTTGGCGACAACTCATTAAGTTACAACTAGTTTTTTGATATAAAAATAGCAATATATTTGTATAATGTGTTTCAATTAATAATCAACTGATTATTTTTCAGGGTTCTACTGTTTCCTTCTGGGGTTGTTGGAATTCTATTTTAATTTGCGCGCATTTTGGGTGGCGCTGACTTGAGGCTTTTTTCAGTACTCCGAGTACCTGCAACCACACTAACCTGTAACCTGCAACCTGCAAACAAAACTAACAGTGGTAGAGTGGTAGAAACTTGACTGACTCAACAGAGATTTTGAAACTATAAAAAAGACCCTCTACTATTGTACGTTACACTTACCTGCCATGATAAAAGAGAAAAAAAAAGCTTAGTAAAAAGAGATCAGCGTTGTTTTACCAAGTGTATCTGTATCACGCACGTAGTCTATGACTGAAGAACCGAAGCGCCGCAAAACGGCAGCGTTAAGTGTATACATAATATTATGTTAATAATTGTTTGAAAAAAAAATTTATTTATTTTTTATTACATGAACATAATTATTAAGCGGTTCTTATCATATATTCCTTATTACGTTATTATTACAGTAGTAACTTATAATGACTATAATTATAATAAAGTTTTCACGCTAAAACTGACGCGCCGTTGCGCGGCGCTTTAGTTCTTCAGTCATAGATTATGTGCGTGATACATAATTCATACATCACTTCAATCACTTGGTAAGTAAAACAACGCTAGAGAGTTGGGAGAATCGGAGCTGTCAAATAAGTGAAGTAAAAGTAAAAGTGCCGAACTTTGAGGTGAATGAATCATATGTCTCTAACAACGAATTACACTGATAAAGTCTATTGTTACGTGGGAAAGAGTTTTTTGGCGATAGTAAATTTGGAAAGAGAAAAACAACGGAACTATTTTAAACATATAACATGGAAGACCTGTTTTTCAAGTTAAAATCAGAAAATAACCAAGAATTCTGTCAGGCATTAGATACGTTTGTAAATAATGTAAGTTTTTTTCTATGTTAAGTAATGTAAGTTTTGTTTTAAATATTTATCAGTTATCGTGATCAACGATACATATATTTTCTTTTCAGTATGCTAGTGTTACCAAGTTTGAATTTTTGGATAGAGAAAATTTTCGCAATGAAATTTGGAAAGCTATATTTCAACATCTAAAAAACAAAGATCAAGCAATTGTCTATGAAAAATGTCTTGCTGTCCTACGAATTTTAAGGTAAAACATGAGAAGTTTTTCTCGTCATAAAATTTTACGTCATCTTTTCATCCATAAAAGAAACGTTTTGAAATGTTTTAGTCGTGATAGTACAAACTTGAACGACATTCTAACAAAAGAAAATCTAATTGTCATCTTGAAATACGCGGGTCTTGATACTAAACAAGATTTATACATGGTCAGCTCAGGTTTGTATAAGACATAATTTTTTTCTGTACATTATTTCATTTATATAATTTTCCACATTTTAAAATTTGTTTCCTTTAAAGTTACTTGTGAAGCTCAGAAGCTACTATGCAACATTTTGTTTAACAGTTCGAAGATGCAAAACCTTATAACAGAAACGAATTGTTTAAAATGTGTTGTGGATCGTATTAGTAAATATGACCACAACACAGAACATGATCTTAAATTATTTGACGTAAGAATAATATTTTTAATTACTGCTTTAAATGCATCGACAAGAAATATTGTCAGCAGTGAATTAAATGGAGATGTTTTATTGATACAAATGTTAGAACATGTTTCACAGAATTTATGTGAAGAAGAAATCGAAATAAAAGTAAGTATTGTTTGAATTTTTAAGTGTCTAAACAATGTTTTGTAAGGCAAGGTTGATATATCTCATATTGTGATTGTTAAGGATAACAACGCAACATTAGCTATTGAAATTTTAAAGACGTTGTTTAATTTGATGATTCAACCAAAAGACCCGTCTCCTGAAAAATTAGAAAGATATAAAAATTTAATATTTACAATGAGAACATTAATCTTGAAGGACAATGAAAAACACAAGGAAAGTTTAGTTAGGTAATTAGTCATCAGTAAATTTATGAAACTCTAATGCTTCAATAATGAATAAGCTCTAAAACTTATTTATCTTAATTCAATTTCAGCCAAAATATAAATTTATTAACTGTGATTCCAGCAGACTGCTATTCTAATTTGATCACACCATTCTCCAATAACCAAAAAGATATTATAAAATATGATGACGTGGATGTTACGGCATTATATGTATTAATCACATTTTTAAATTACAAATTGGAATGCAAAACTAATGTTATTGAAAATTTATCTCCTATACTTACTGCATTTATTAAAATGTGTCGATCAGAAAAAGTTATCCGAAAGTATATGAGAATGAGGGTAAAATCATTTATAAATTAATAGCATAGAACCGCACAAAAAGTAAAATCCATATCAACTTGAAAACGTATTTGGGTAGCTGTTCTGAAACTGTTAAAATTTCGAAAAAGCTGAATTACTACCTCAAAAATTTTTTTTAAATAAAAAAAATACCGAAACTGTGATAGTGTATTTAATTAAGCTAAGTCCAGTGCTGACAAAGACAAACATTTTGAGGTGATAGAGTAATTAAAGCTTTAGATTCATGTTAAGCATTCTCCAAACACTAGACACGTTAAACTATTTTCATCGATTTTACTTTATTTATTGTAGTTCTGGGTGGTAAGGATTATTTTAATAAGTATAAATGGTACGATTTAATTTTCTTGTCAAACAGATTCTTCCACCATTAAAAGATGTCACGAAACGTCCTGAAGAGGGATCAACTTTAAGAAATAAACTGTGTCAATTACTTACCAGCCCTGTAACAGAAATAAAAAATCTTGTTGCGGAATTTTTATTCGTTCTATGTAAAGAAAAGGGTATAAGAATATTTCAGAATAATAAATTACTTGAAACGTAGAAAGAAAATTACTATTATACTCAACTTTCTAGTTGGTAGAATGATTAAGTATACGGGATATGGAAATGCAGCTGGAATGTTTGCAACAAAAGGTCTGATGGGACCAGAACATGCTAAAATTGATTATTCATCTGAATCTGAGGACAGTCAAACTGAAGAATATGAAAAAGTGAAACACCAGTAAGAGAAAAAAAAAATACATGTAATTTTATGAAATAAGTCTAATTAATAAGGTTGATTTAATTTTTTAGAGTCAATCCAGTGACAGGTTGTTACGAAAGTCCAAAGAAAAATCCTTTAGATGGAATGACCGAGGAGCAAAAAGAATATGAGGCAATAAAATTAGTACACCTTGTAGATCAATTACAAAGGTATATTTAACTTGAATACGCTAATTTTAAATTGCATAAGCAAATTAAAAAATATTATTCAAGGGATGGAGTGATTCAGCCATGTCGTATAGGAGAAGATGGGAAGCCAAAACCTATTGAACATGTGCTAGAACTAGAAGAGCATTTACCTCGTCAACAATTCCGGAAACAAGATTCAGATTCTGATTAATGTGATATTATTTACTTGCTGATTGGGCATACATTTTTAAATCATACATCGGTGTTGTTTTATATAGTTTAATGTAGACTTAACATTTTACATATTATATAAAATGTATTGAATGTGTATAGATTCATTTTTAAAATAAATGTAAGTATTTCAAAAAATTAAATGAACTATTAAAAAATTTATTAAATGACAAGTACAGGAATGGTTTTGATTTTTTTTTATTTTTTTTTTATTGAAAAAGAACATGAAACAACATTACATAGTAAACAATTGTCAGGAAATAAAAAATATAACAATTTCCAAAATCACATTTCATTCTTAAATCTTAAACGATTCACCTACCACACATCGATGTGCTTTGTGAGCATCACAATGTATGTATATTAATATTATTGCATTGTAACTTATGTGCACACGAAAACACGTGACGCCTTCCCTTGGAGCTTCCTTTTTTCTTC